AGTTCGTGATTGATATTTTTTTAACAGGAGCTCGCGCGGAAATTGAATTGGGAAAAATAATCCAAAAGACAGGATGGAAAAGAACAAGTTTCATTATAACGACAAAAATCTACTGGAGCACTAAGTATAAACAGACAGTAGGTTAAGGGGGGGCAAGATGGGCCATCGACTTGATTTATTTAGTTTTTTGATTGTCAACATCTACAGGCTCAATGTACCCCCAATACTGGTTTGAAAAAGTAAACCAGTTGATGTTGACGAATAAAATAATTAAAAAATGTACTAGTTAACTCATCTTGCCCCGTGACACCTTAGCCTATAAATTATACAGATTCCAACAATTAATAAATGTCTTTTTTCAGATCCGAAGAGCGCGGTTTGTCTAGAAAGCATATAATAGAGAGCGTTCAAGCAAGTTTGCATCGACTGCAGTTATCGTACATAGATATAATTCTCGTACATAAGGCTGATTCAATGTGCCCTATGGAAGGTACAATACTTATATCCCTAGGTTTAGGAAAATCATCTAAAACTTATGTTCCATATTACAGAAATAGTTCGTGCAATGAATTATGTAATTTCTCAAGGATGGTCAATGTATTGGGGAACAGCCAGGTGGTCTCCAGTTGAGGTAAAATTGGTGGTATTGTAAATCATAAATAAATCACTTTAATCTTGCCACTTTACTTCAACAGATCATGGAAGCTTACACGAATTGTAGACAGTTCAACTGTGTGACCCCTATTGTTGAACAGGCTGAATATCACATGTTCTGCAGGGAGAAAGCGGAGCTATATCTTCCTGAGATGTACAACAAAATCGGTGTTGGTTTCATGGCTTGGGGCCCACTTTCAATGTGCTTAGGTGACACACAAAATGGTGAACGATTGTGGTTACCTAAAGGATCATTCAAAACCAAAAGTCAAAGTTATTCCTGGACCGAAGATGAAGTCAATAAAGAAGTAATAGAGAAGAACATCGAACAAAATTAATATTGTAACTAATGCATCAAATTATAGGAACGGCTGGAGGAAACACGAAGGATGTACGATAAAGCCAGAGATATAAGTAACCTTGCAGAAAAATTGGGATGTAATGCAATGCAACTATCTATTGCATGGTCACTAAAACATGAGCCAGTGCAATGTTTGCTTTTGGGAGCAACTTCTGCTGAACAACTTCATCAAAGTTTGCAAGCTTTACAAGTAAGTAATGTTTCTACACTGCCGGTGGACGCATAACTATCCCAGAAGTTCATACACATATGAGACAATTATGCGTCCAGCGACAGTACAGTAATGTACGAAAAACGCCTATCGGTACCGTGCCAGCACCATATTTGACGCGTCCCTAATGATGACGCACTCGTCTAATTTTTATCGCATCTCGATTTTGATTTTTAAATTGATATTTTTAAAAACTTGGAACTAATATTTGCCGAAGTAACATTTCAAAAATAATGATTGAACATAGTTGAATAATTATTGAGTTTTTGTGCAACTTGTTTCAAACACCAAAAAAAAAATCAAAGAAAAATATGCTGGGCTATACATATCTGTAGAAAGTGGTTCAAGAGTACGCAGTTAATTGTAAAATTCATGTATCTTTTTCACCGTATCATTAAATTTTAGTTTTCAACGGTTGATCACCGTAAGTCATGTTATTATTTGTTAAAAAAAAGTAGAAATACTGAGAAGCAAAGCACACACGGTCGGAAGGACACGTGTGTATGAGAAAATTTTCCAAAAAATCTTCGGCCCACCGGATGCCGGTAGGTTGTTTGGCAAATTTTCTCGTACATCAGTGTCTTACTGAAGATGTGTTCTATGTTTTTCAATATCTTATATTTTTTTCGAAAAATCAATATTTTTTTTAATTTATGAGTTGATTTCTTAATTATTTGGCCACAATCCCTTATGGATAAGAAATATCATTGTTTTTTTCATTAATTTGTGGGGCAGAAGTGCGCATTTTATTGAATGTTTCACAAACGACTATTTCAATGAAATTAATGCTTTCTCAAGGGGCGATCCATTTATTATGTCACGCAAAATTGAGGAAAAATTAACGCCCCCCCCCTCTCCTCTTTTGGTGACGTTTTTCCTATACCTAATGCATTGTTTGTCACAAAATCATGAACTCCCCCTCTCCCCTTAGAGCGTGACATAATATGTGCATTACCTCCAAGCAATAAATCAAATGTTTTGCACATAGTTTTGAAAGTTAGTATTTTTTAGCTGTGGAAATTAGCATAAAATCGAAGACAACATATCAAGAAGACTGGCAACTTTGTCTGAATCCGAGCGACAGACAAAGTAGCGCTGTGCTCGAGTGAAGGTGGAGGCAACGCATAGAAAAATGAGCAAATGCACAAACCTTTCTTCTGAGGATAGAACCTTTGCTATCCAATTCGTTCGGAGCATTTATCTTTGAGCGTCAGATGACGCGATTGTGCCTGTCTCGTGCCGGTTGTTTGAGAAAATGGAAGAGTTGCCAGTCTTCTTGATATGCTGTCTTCGATAAAATCTAAGACAACATATCAAGAAGTCTGGCAACTCTTCCGTTTTCTCATACGACCGCTATGAGACAGGAACAATCGCGTCATCTGCCGCTCAAAGATAAACGCTTCGAACGAAGTAGATAGCAAAGATTATAACCTCAGAAGAAAGGCTTGTGTATTTGCTCATATTTATATGCGCTGCTTCCACCTTCACCCAAGTGCAGCGCTACTGTATCTGTCACTTGGATGCTGGCAAAGTTGCCAGTCTTCTTGATATGATTTCTTCGATAAAATCGTACAAGTCTGATATATTTAATATATTCGGTAATATGATTGCACTAAAGCATAATTAAAGTTTAAAAACAGGTTTTATCAATATTTTTCAAAATGAAAATTTGACATTGAGATAATAACATTTGAACCCATTATCTTCGCATCAATGAGGCCCTAAAGAGCATAGTCTGTCTAGAAAATCTTACGGGTTTAACAACTTTCTCGGCATGGTGCATCACTAGCACAATGATGTAGAAAGCTCTCAATTCAATTGTTAGTTCACCGTTTATCGCTTTCGAGGAAACGGTACTTTGGGGAAATGGTACATTCTGAAATGGAAATGGAAATATCTTTCGGGGAAACGGTACATTCAGGGAACTGGTCTTCGGGGAAAAGTCGTGCAATCCAATGGATACGCTGCGTTTGCGTGGATTTGACAGTTTTGTCAAATTTACGTCAACGAAACGCAATTGTATCCATTGTGGGTGGCCCTGTACCCTACTCAAAACATAAACTTTACTATGATTCAATAACTCGATATCGACGAAGCGAAAACTGAGTTGTGAAGAGTTGTTTGTACCTAAGAGGACCAAACTTAAGCGATAAATTTTTTTTCGCGATTGAAGCATGGAAAACTTTTACTTGGTAGTGTACAAAAATAACACACAAATATTTGTTGTGATCACTATAAGGAGAATAAGACACTTGTTGTTTAGTTACTCACTGATTATCAACTGCAATCAGCGATGTTTATTGCCGAGGCTATTTATAGGGTTGTAGACAATAATGATAATGTACACTCATCAGATTATGTTCTTTGTTTACTTATGTACATGTCCTCATATCTCTACCACTACATTTACTGTTGACGTTTCCCTATCAGAGCCGCCGTTGGCATTGTTCACTTGCTGACGACACTGAAACAAATGTAACAATACCTTACCCTTTAAGCTGAAAACCATGTTTAACTCAAACTATTTATAATATCTAAATTTCGACCTGAAAATTATCAAGAAATAAACTGAAATTCATAATCATTGCTCATGTTGAAAGCTTCAAATTCACACATGAAAATTCATTGGAAATAAACATATTTATCATCGACTATCTTCGCTTTTTTCCTAGCCGATCTTCTTAACCTTGACGAACACGATGAAGCTGAATTCTGAACTGGTCGCTGGATGGGTTGCAACACTCTAGGATGCAGACGGCTGCTTGCCGGTAAGGGTGGTTCTGGACTAACTGTGAACCCCAGAAATTCTTCTTCGCTGTCTTCCAAATCTTCGAAACGTATCTTTGTTCCACGTCCGTGGTGTCCGCCCTTCGCCACTGAACCTGGCATCGAGCTTGAATGGCCTTGTTCGCAATCATCCTTCCGTAACTGGAGCGTCAAATTACGCCTTCGTCCAGTCTGGCTCGTAATCTTCACCTGCCTCTTGTGGGCCAAGACGAGGATTGACCCCAGGGCGATCTGTAAAACATTTTTAGAGATTCTTTTAATAAAACTTGCATCAAGCCATTTTTCAACATCTTTTGAATTATGATTCTTGTAATAAACCTTATCGTCCAACTTCAAAGTAGCATAAGGATCTTTAATATCATTTATACTTGATTTGTACTTCAATGCTAATGGTTCGGCTAACTGTTTTTTGTAGCTATTCTTAGGATTAACCAGATCCAGAATGGGTTTTGGCTTGAAACTCAAAACATTTTCAGAAGGATACTTTCCGCCTTCAGATAGCAGGTATTTCTGTAATTGAAAAGGAAGTAGTTTATTTTGTCCTGTAGGTTCATGTTTCTCATAGTGGGGTCCAATAGAAATTTCTTCAATACACCTTTTGATACTCTAACCAGACGTTCCGCCTGGCCATTGCTTTGAGGGTGATATGGCGAGATTTTAAAAACCTGAATACCTTACCATTCCAAAAATAATATGAAATATTTTAATTAAAAGGAGGGCCATAGTCCGTCACTACCACGTCTGGAAGTCAAAACCGAGAAAAAAAAACCAATAAATTCTTTAACTACACGCAAACCAAAAATCTATTACAATGAATGTTAGTTCCGTTTCCTATCATCCTCTGTTCATGAACATCGCAACGAATGTTAGAGATTGACCATGCAAGCAATGTAATGATTTTTTGTCTTTTTTATTTCGTGTTCTATCTACGCTTTCGACTATCCAGCAGAAAAAGCATACGGAGTCGAGTATGCGAGAAAATGAGCGCTTCATGTTTGCTTTTAAGCTACCCATATTCAAAAGCATGGAGAGAGCAGTGGAAAAAGCACAGGTCTGATAATCGCAACGTTCGTGATTCGAGTACAGTCGGCAATTTGTTTCCTATTTTTTCGACATAACTAATTTCACTCACTAATACATTCAACATTTTTCGGTCTCCAATTTTCTTGCATTGGACCGCAGCTAGATATATCGCATCCTCGGTTCATGCGGTCTCCACTTACATCCTTTGATGATGAATCCCACATAATTGTAAGCGAATCTTACATCCCCCGGTTGGGTGTACTTTCTCTGCGTCAGTACCAAATTTCATCCAAATTATTTCCAACCATTTTGAAAAGCTGTCCACTAGACTGATGCAAAATTTGAAATTTTCACAGTGCTTAAGCGGTTCCAAATTCTGTCCTGCTTAGCCTCCCAAAATTTGAACTACTTTAGTAAGAAAATGACTTTTCACAAACCATTTCAAGTTTATATGGGAATTACTGTGGAAAAACTTATGTTTTTGTTCATATCTATCTATCAATTCATCACATCACTATGCTTTTAAAATGATAGCAGTGATTGTAGCAAATTTTTAACAACTACAACTTTGTAGAAAACCACTTTTCAATCAAATGTGAGGAACAAAAGTTATTAATGATTCAAGTCACTGAAGTCTTATAATTATGCTCATTCAACTGATCAGCAGGCAACATTGTTGTTTCTGGTGCGAAGAATAGAGCACAAATATCATGGCTACTATGTCACACTGTAGAATACAGTGTTGCCTTCAGAACAGCTGCTTGATCATGCCATAAGTTTATCAGTCTATTAAACAATTAATAACAATTTAATTTGACTTTTTTAATTTGACGATATTTCGCAAAGTTGCAACTTAGAAAATGTCCCGTAAGAATAGTTATAGAAATTTTCGACAAGGAAAATGGAAAATGGGTAGAAAACAATGAATAAAAAGTTTGGTTTTCCCATAGTAATTTTCATATAAACTACGAATAGTTTGTGCCAAGTCAGTTTCTTACCAAATGAGATTAAATTTTGTGAGGCTAATCAGGACCTGATTTGAAACCATTTGAGCACTGTGGAGCAAAAATTTCAAATTTTGCATCAGTCTACTGTCCACCACTAAAAGAAAAGTATGCCGTTCAAAGTAAACAAAATCAGCATGAATTCTGCTGAAAGGCCTTGTAGTTGAAATCCATTCCGAGGTTTCTTTTTGATTCAAGGTATTAGAAGTTTTCACGCATACTTCGCAGTTTTTACAAATGTTTCAATGTAACCATTAATTCCAAACCAATAGATGCTTTTTCTGGCCTGTTCATCTTAACAATCCCGGCGTGATTTGCATGCAATATTTGCAGAACTTTATTTTGCAATGAAACCGGAACAATAACTCTATCTTGAAAGTTAGCACCCATCTATTTCTTCGATGTCTTGATGTTGTGAATAAATATTTTTGAAACACTGATCAACTCTTCCTGGCCAGCCATTTTTCATAAACTTGTTGTAAATAAAAATTATTTACAGTTTCTCTTGCTATTGCTGTAAAATCCAATGGTAAATCCTGAGAGTAATTCAAACTCTTTACATATTGTTTCTCTAAGCATCTGGAAACTTCTATTTCCAATGGAATACGTGAACAAAAATCAGCATTAGCCATCTAGTTTGCTGGTCTGTATTCAAGATTGTAGTCATAAATCTAGAACTCCATAACATAACGTTGAATTCTTTTCACTGAAATTGAATTTCGCCCAGTATTCCTAATAACGGTTTGTGGTCTGTAAAAATCGTAAAACTTTGACCAAATACAAACTTGTGAAATTTTTTTTACTTTTGATACTACTGCTAAAGATTCTAGATAAAGAATAGGGTTACTTTTTTGTGCCTGATTGAGCGAAAATGATATAAACCAGATTGGTTTTTCCATCACATGTATGACACATGAAGTAACTCCACCAAGACCATATGAGGAAGCATCCGTACTGACCACAATAGGTTTTTTGGGATCGTAAAATGTTAAAACATCTGCATTCAGTAATTTTTCTTTACAATTCCTGAAAGCTTCATTATATTCGAAAAACCACAAAAAAAATTTTTTTTAATAGTTGGTACAGAGGACTCAGTACTGTTGATAAATTAGGCAAAAACTTGCCATAGTAATTTATCAAGCCCAAAACAGCTTTCAACTCAGTCGTATTCTTAGGATTTTGTGCAGCATTAATAGTTGAAACTTTCTCTGGACTTGGCATAAGACCATTGTCCGTTATAATAAGCCTCAAGTATGGTAGCCGATACACAAACAAATAACATTTCTTAAAGTTAACTTTAACATTTACTTCTGATAATCTGCCTAACACTAGAGTAACTCTTCTGTGACAATCGTCAAAGTCCTTTCCAGCAATAAGCACATCGTCAAGATAACAATAGACGTATTCTATTCCCTGTAAAATAGCCTCCATTATCTGTTGAAATATGCTCGAAGATGCTCCTTGAGGCAGTCGATTATATGTAAAAACTCCTTTAATGGTATTGATAACTAAATTTTTTTAGTTTTCCGACAACTGTAGCTGAGTGTAAGCCGTAGCTAAATCCAAGGAACAGGAAATTTTACAGCCAGCTTGAGATGCAAACAAATCCTGAGCCGTTGGTAAGGGATAGGTGTAGCTATCCAAACCTTGTTTATAGATACTTTACAGTCTATAACAAGTATGATATCGCCATCTTTTTTAACTATCACCACCATTGCAGTGGTGAAGCCCATAAGCTGGTTTTGATGAGAGTAATAATTGTATCTCTCTCCAGCAATGCTAAATGATCCATTACTTTATATTTTAATCGGTAGGGTACTTTATACGGTCTTCTAAAAATCGGTCGATCTTCTTTCAATACCAACTCTGCATCAAACCCCACAATAGGCGATTAAAAATCTCTCGTAAAAATGATGGCATAACACTGCTTTATAATGCTCAATGCTTGCTCTTGATTCCCTTCAACACAGTTTATTCCACACCTGTTTAATGATTTAGACGATTCTAAAAAATTATCTCTCCAACCACTAAAAAGTACATCCAACCAATTTCTACCAATAAGAGGCGTAAATTCATGATCCCCATTCAAAACCACTAGTTCCAAAGTTGCCATAGTTCCATTTAACGAAACAGAAACAAAAACTTTTCCAAAAATTTCTAACGTTGATCCGTTGATCACAATTAGTTTCCGGTTGCTATTTCTCAACTGACGCCATTAAATTTCCTCTCGAATTCTGCTCTGCTTATTATAGATACAGCCGAACCACTGTCCACCTCCATTGCACATTTTTTTCCTTCTATTTTGACTTCGAGTAGACAAGGTTTACATACTTTACTGATTGAAGAAATCATAAGACAGGGATAATCACCTTCTTCCTCGGTATCGGAGTCATAATCTACTCGAAGCCTTTTGAAGTAATCGTGGACGTTATTAACCTTTGCCTCCTCCTTCACGAATTTAACCGAATCCCGAGTTGTATCTCTCTTATTATCCAAGAAGCGGTAACAATTCTTCTGAATATGACCTCACTTCCTGCAAAAATGGCAGACGAAATTGGCGTATCGGCCTCGACTCGAGAGATATTTGACCTGACCTTGATCGCCCTTCAAACCTCCTGTAATGTGCACGCGAATCTCGATTTATACCGTAATATCCTTCCCTGGATCTACTCCGACTACGATCTCACCTATCAATTCTAGATTTACTGTCTCCGAGACGATGCTTGACCAAATTAATTCCCACTTCCAAATTTATGTACTGTGTGTTACTGTTCGCCATTTCAAAACATTTAATTATCCTTTCAGCCGATCGTAAAATAAGATCTCCTTCATTTCCCTATTTCTTTTGTAGCTCTCTATTGTACACTCCGAAAACTAACTGGTCGCGAATGGCTGAGTCACGAAATGCACCGAAATCACAGGATTCGGCCACTAATTTTACAGCTAAAACAAAATTTTCTCCACTCTCAGTAGGACTCTGTCGTCTGCAACGAAATTTATAACGCAACATTATTTCCGAATCTATTTTGTCAAAGCGTTCTTTAAGCTTTTCCGGGTCGATTGTGCCGATCAACGCCATTTTGGCTGCACCAAATCAATAAAAACACAATTGTGCGCAGTTTAAGAGACCAATTTAAAAGGAATAAATGAGAGAGAAAAAAACCACGTACCTTTTAACCTCACAGTAGAATCCGTCCGATCCAACCCGTTGCCACCCGCCTGTAGATAATTCGCTTCCTGTGTCCAGTCCAACCACCGGCTTCTTTCTCTTCGAAATTCACTTCCTCCAAACTCAACTAATTGAATTTTTCTCGAAAAGCCACTATTTTTCGAAATATCGTCTCACTAAACTGTCTTCGTCACTTTACGACTGGCACAAATAAAAAAAATCACCAATCTTTTGCACGGATCCGCTTTGATCCTGCGCGAAAAACAAATCGACCAAATTGTGCTCCACTTACTAAAGGAAAATCCCAACCACTATGCCGTTGATAAAAACTCGGATAAAAGCACGCAAAAATCACTACTATCTTCCCGGTTTTCTCCTCGTCGTTAGTTGTTGTGATCACTATTAAAGGGAATAAGATACTTGTTGTTTAGTTACTCACTGATTATCAACTGCAATCAGCGATGTTTATTGCCGAGGCTATTTATAGGGTTGTATACAATAATGATAATGTACAATAATCAGATTATGTTCTTTGTTTACTTATGTACATGTCCTCATAACTCTACCACTACATTTACTGTTGACGTTTTCCTATCAGAACCGCCGTCGGCGTTGTTCACTTGCTGACGACACTTAAACAAATGTAACAATATTAACAAATATTTTCTAATTACAGCTTTTACCACGTCTATCAACTGGTGTGATGTTAGAGATTGAGCGCATTTTGGACAACAAACCTGTGAGGCCACCTCCCATTTCGACACTTGCACTTCGGTGACAATCAGCCTGCCCCCCGGGGCCTCCTAGCTCAACAGGAGTGCCTTGTGGGGCAGAGTCTCCGAAGGAAGAAGATATCAGTATGGGTGAAGATCAAAAGGGGTCGCAAAAGATAAGCTTTTGTGAAATTCAGTGACAACAGGGGAATTTAGACGATAACAAATTTTCCTCAAAGTCCTCAAAATATTCTGAAAATCCAAAAACCAGCTATAGAAAGGATTCGATTAAATATGCAAAAGTATCCGAATCTACTAGCAATCTAGAAATTTCTCTTTTATCCGCTATTCGCTTAGATAGTAATCCGACTTATACTAATAAAAATGATAATAAATCAACAAAAGATAATAAAAAAGCACGCCAATTAGATCGCAATAAGTCAATTGATACAATGTTAGCCAGTGCTAATGAGCAGGATGAACATTTAAATCATAGCAAGGTTAAAATTCGTCGTAACTCGAGTTTAATTAGTTTCAAATCGTTAGACATCAGCCTGAAATCGATTTATTCGTCACTAAAAGGGAACAAGGGAAACGCTGAAAAAAGCCGTACCGAATCAGCTTCATCTCAGAAAGCCATATGTATTCTTCGTGCGCCGTATCTCAAGGTTGAAACAGTCGAGAATGACGAATCACAAAAATTACTTTTGACCTATGCTCAATCTCCTGGCGGTTCGCAACACCGACGAAGTTTCGATACTACTAGCTCACAATATTTGAGTACCCAAACTAATTATCAAGAGCTATCGCAATCACCGCATGGTAGTTCAGCTTACTTGTCTGTAAGTACCGGAAACATCCGACGATCATCTACTTCAGATATACTTGGCAGTGGCAATAACAGCAGGAAAGCAAGCGTACAGCAATCGTCTTGTGGTTCAGTATTAGAAAATCGCAAGCCCAGCACATCCGATATGCTTCGTAAGGCTCGTGAACGTAAAGGTAGCGAAGGTAAAATTGGGCGCAGTATGTCACAGGGTGGCATAGCAAGAGGCGCTCTAAGGAATCGTCGGATCAGTATGGCGTATTAAAAACTTGTTTCAGCCAAAGAACTCAATCCAACCAGCATTGTTACTTGTTGTTATGTTTGGCACGTATTTGACATTATCGATCAGTAGTAACCTAGCTTGATTAACCAATATTTTTTACAATAACAATGCCTCTACCAAACTATTCAAATTATGAAATTAATTCTTACTAGGTATCTTATGTGTTGTTATGAAGTTTATTTATAGACAATTATTTGAATCCAATTTACGGTAAAGTGTTGTTTCTGTTTCAATCTGTAACTCAGTAAATCAAAAGCGTTTATAAAAGCATTAAAATGGTAGGTAATTGATCGGCGCAGATAGATAAATAAAAAACAATTTGGAATTTGATATGAGTTTGGAATTCACTACACAAAAGCTAAGAATTGTGATTTATGGCGCACGTATCTTAAGAATGTTTGAATTGAGTTTCATCGGATCAATTTAAGTTTGGATACACGATACCAGCCATTTAGCGATTTTTAGTGGCGTGTATTGTGCAGAATAGCCAAAAGAATCAACTAAGAATAATCGAAAAAGTTTTTATCAAGCGATAAAAATGGTCATATCTATTAAACAAAAAAATCGAAAAATAAATACAATACAGAACCGCAATACTGTATCATACATTTTGTAACTACTGATGCATTCAGATGTTGATTTATTCAGCACTCGACAAAGAGCGAAACCTATGTAATAGAGATACAAAATTGAATTAATTAAAAAAAAAACAGTACTGTTCTAGCTATGCCAAAAGTGCATCTTTTTGAATAAAAACGGCTCGTTAAAGTGAACAATGAAACATAGCGTAAAATGTAGAAAATATAGTACGAATAAACGAAAGTTTTTGCCATAACGCCATTGCAACAATAATATAAAAAATCAGATATTTTCGCAACTAATTTAAGATAAGATGAACGGATAATTGTGCGACACCAATTAGCAATTGAAATAGAATTAATATACAAAAGATAGTAAACAAAATAACTCAAACATGTAAGCAAACGTTCCTAAAGCGTTGCGTTCACCTTTTTCTGATAAACAATTAAACACGTCTATGTCTTTTTGATACACCTGTGTGCCGAAGTATCACACAGAAATGTTCGTTTTAAAAACTGGACAAATCAGTATATTATGACCGATCAATTAGTTGTCAACTCACCATTACTCTTTCTGCAAACTATTGTTCTGAAAAATTTTCATTCAATACACCGTGCCTAGAACTAATATATATGAAAGAGATTTCTTTGTTTTTGGTAACTCATGCAGATAAAATTCTACGAGAATATTGTTATTTTAACTAGATATATTTATTGTTGAAATAATCGTAAAACATGTTTGATTCATTAATAAAATATTGCTACTCGTCATTCAACAATATTTATATTCTGAATTTAAAATTCATTCCTACATTACTACGTGTAATAAACAGAACCCACACTTTGCATATTGTTTTTTTTTTTTTTAATGTTTGAACAACAAATGAAATCATTCAAAGTGTTTTTATGTTACTTCATACGCGAAGTTAGCGATTTTCAGAGTTGGTTGGAAAATGCTAACATGAAGCTTTAGTGTGATAATTTATTAGCTACAGAATGATCTTTTTTAGAAGAGGGTAGGTGGATAGTTCCGTTAGAGTACGGCAGTATGAAAATTGAATAGAAGTTGAAAATGAGCGAAGGTCCATTAATGCGACAGTTTTTAAAGATAGACGCACATCTTTGCCTAACCCGTACGATGTACGCGGAGACTTGAAGTATGTCTCCAAGTCTACAGGCAAAAATGTGCGTCCCTCTTTTGCTCATAAACTGACTGCGGCTGTGGAATAGTTCTAGCGACGTTTTCATCACTACCTAAAGCCCCACGTTGCGAGAGCATTTCCAGTCGATGGTGTGTTATAATGCAATTCTTCTTTACCCAACTATTGTGTTGCTCCTCTCGTCAAGTTGGTCATGAGCATATATCAATACAAGAAACCTGAGCAGAAGAAACACAGTATTAAATGTTCTTCAAATCTTCGTGAAGTTTAGATCTTGAAGTTCTATAAGCCAAACAACATTTTGTGGAAAACAAAAATGTGTTACCAAATTATTTATCATTCTCCAAATTGTCCTGGAGATATTTTACAGGTGAATCAAAATCTTGTTCGATGTCCACTCAGTTTGAGCATTTTGTACTTCGCATAGACTTAAAATGATTATTTGTGTTTGAAAATAGCTTTGCTGGATTATCCAAATCATCCCGGATATCTGATCCTGAAGTTCTGCAGACTGAACAAGATATACCATGAACCGACTTAATGATAGAATGAGTAAACCTTCGTTAAGCCCCATAGTATTATTGTTTTGGTTTTCCAAATCTGCTTCTCTATCTTCAAGTAGCATGTATGTCCCGCTCAGCCTATATTCAAGAACAACTTCACTTGGAAAACTGTAGCAAAAAAAATCAAACACTTTTCTTCCAATGAGACCAAACGAAATTCTAAAAAAATACTCTGTAAACTATCGTAGAATGAACAACTACAAAATCGCCGTTTTCCGGGCGCGAACGGGTTGCAAGTGAGTGAAAAGAATAGAGTTTTTGTAATTTTTAGATTTTTTTACATTTTACCACATAATATGAAAGTTGTAAACAGATGTGTAAACAAGAAAATATAATGGTGTATGTGATATGAAGATGATTGATTCCAAGAAACATTGGAAGTTTAAAAACAAAACTATGGCCTACAAGACTATGATAAACCCAACATTGTTACTTAGGATGAGTATATATGATCTTTCCCGGAGCAATTTAAGTTTTCCCGCATTTCTCCCGGGTTTTTCCCGGCAAATCCGAATTCGCAGTTTTTTTCACGGATTTTCCGGTTGAATGGACACTTTGTAATATTAAGACCACATTACTATTCAATTTGCCAATATTAACGACCTACTTCCCCCCAGGATGTGGAAATTACAATCAGAAATCCTTAATTCCGGTTAATAGGGAGCGTGAATAATGAACCGCCAATAAGGATACCCACAGTATATGAGACTTTCACTAATAGGGACTGCGGTGGATTATCTCATTAGTTTCAATATATAAAGCTGTACTGTCTTCGGCAAAGTTGTTGAATTGGGTTAGACTAACATATTACACTTTCATATTATGCCATATAGAAAGTGCACATCTTGAGCAAATTTATTCAGGTATCCAAGTGCTTTCTGGTGGTGGTCTTACTAGCTCAGAACTCTATCACGGCGTTAAAGTTTTTTTTTTTTTTTTTACAGTCTGGAATCACAGGGTGTGGGGATGGGATAAGTAGCACTCCTGGCCCACTCAACCTTACCCTGTGCTCTAGGCCCTTGCCCTCCCCGGAACCGCCCGAAAGCAGTACGTCATGGGAGGGGGCCGGTTGTGCTATGGCGCATCACTAAGTGTTGTGTCAGACGTGACACTCGCTACTGCACAGTGAGCAGCTGTGCAGGGCCTTTCTCTTGTTGATCGCTGTTAGTTGTTCGCCTGAGTTCTAGAGCAGACGTGATAGCCAGCCAACTGTCCAGGGCCAAACAGGACAGATGTGACCGCTTACCAGCTGCGTGTGCTAAACACTCTAAGAACCCGGTGTCACTCCTGCCTTTGCACAACGAGGGTTTGTGCAGGGCTTATCAACCTCCTGGGACGAGCTGGATGGGGTTCCAGCGTCCTTACTCTGCGGTAGTTCGTTTAGCCGCAATATCTCTCCCTTGGGTTCGATAATTAACGTTTCCAGGGCACACCACGAGGAGGCGAACTACTTCATGCCCCACGCGGCGTTAGTGTGTATATTAACTTCCTATATAAGCTGTATCTCAAAATTCTGGGCATATAAAACGGTACTGGCTTCAGGACATTTATTCAAATGACCACGGTCTTCCGGATGGTGTTCATATTAGCTCTCTCACTACGTAGCGCTAGCGTGCATGCAAATTTCCTCAATATGCAATATGCGTATTTTTGAAACAGGGGTGACGTGTAGAGGCCGAAAATCGATGCTGTTCGCCATTTTGGAATCAAAGATGGTGACCATCTGTTTTAGAAAAACT